GCTGGTCATGGCGGATTGGTGAAAAGGGGGTGGCGGAGGCAAGGACTGATTCAAATATCACTCACCACAGATATCACTCCCCACTGATATATTCTTCCGAACTCAGAGGGCAGTGCCCTAACCACCGCACCACCACTTTATTTGGTTATGTACCGTATTTTATTTTTTATTAGTATTAATGTCAGTGGTATCTGGACCAGTCACCCCCCCCCCCCCCCTTCCCTCGTTCACTAACTGGCACTGACCAACGTCCTGAAATATGGTCAAATAACCTCCTTGACTGACACAGCATCAGGATGTTTGACAAAAGGCTGTATAATTATGATTTGCCAATATAAATATATTCAGGGCTTGCATTGCCATTGTGTATGATCACAATTAAACAGAACACAGGTCAGATATTTGATGTGCAGTAAAAGGGGACATTTGTGTCGCATAGTAAAGTTGAATTCAATCACCGGCCTTTTTAGTGCAGTGTTGAAGGCAGGCCACTTCCCAAGTTTCCCTTTTGATGTCAACTAATTTAAAGAGAATAACGAAATCAAACAAATAATGCCCTGAAACATTCTTCCTTTGGTTTGTGAGTCTTTACAGTGTATATGTTTGTGTGTGTACGCGCGCGAGAATGTTGGGGTTGTGTGCGTGCGCATGTAATATAGGTCTTGGTTCTATTTCACGGTCATAACCAGGGTTGCTGATAGCACACACCATTTACGCTCATAGTGCATGCAACCTGTGCAAGCCCTCTGCACTACACTTTGCTGGTACCGGTTTCTGTGATCGATTTTTAACAGCCAAATTTGGTGGCGGTCACCGGTAAGCTGGGCACCACAGTAGCGATAAACAGTGGCAGGATGGAAAAGAAATTGGACAGCTTATTGTGAAAGTACAGGGTTGCTATACCAAAAAAAAAACTGCTTTCACCTCTTATGCATTTAATGTCCTCGAGAATATGCGTAGGTGTTTGAAACAAGTGTAAGATGATCGCAACGTTAATACAAAATAATATATGATGAAACCCTTTCATAATATTTAGGTTGGCCTGGAATTACCCTTTTGTGAATATTTCAAAAAGAGCTTACATTTTTGTTATGCTCTAAATACAATTTTTGAACGGGAAGTTCGTTTGCACGGGCTTTCGGCATCCTGTGCTCAACATTAAATTAACCTACGTGCGAGTTTATTTGTATACTTGTACACTATTATTGTCTAGTGTTTTTGTTCTGGCGAACATTGCACATGTTTAATATCTCCAGGCACATTGCTGTGATGTGTTCACGTCTCTTTTTGATTGTGACCAATGCTTTTTGATGCTTTGCTTGATGTACAGTGAGGGAAAAAAGTATTTGATCCCCTGCTGATTTTATACGTTTGCCCACTGACAAAGAAATGATCAGTCTATAATTTTAATGGTAGGTTTATTTGAACAGTGAGAGACAGAATAACAACAAAAAAATCCAGAAAAACGCATGTCAAAAATGTTATAAATTGATTTGCATTTTAATGAGGGAAATAAGTATTTGACCCCCTTTCAATCAGAAATATGTATGGCTCCCAGGTGTCTTTTATACAGGTAACGAACTGAGATTAGGAGCACACTCTTAAAGGGAGTGCTCCTAATCTCAGTTTGTTACCTGTATAAAAGAAACCTGTGCACAGAAGCAATCAATCAATCACATGCCAAACTCTCCACCATGGCCAAGACCAAAGAGCTCTCCAAGGATGTCAGGGACAAGATTGTAGACCTACACAAGGCTGGAATGGGCTACAAGACCATTGCCAAGCAGCTTGGTGAGAAGGTGACAACAGTTGGTGCGATTATTCGCAAATGGAAGAAACACAAAAGAACTGTCAATCTCCCTCAGCCTGGGGCTCCATGCAAGATCTCACTTCGTGGAGTTGCAATGATCATGAGAACGGTGAGGAATCAGCCCAGAACTACACGGGAGGATCTTGTCAATGATCTCAAGGCAGCTGGGACCATAGTCACCAAGAAAACAATTGGTAACACACTACGCCGTGAAGGACTGAAATCCTGCAGCGCCCGCAAGGTCCCCCTGCTCAAGAAACCACATATACATGCCCGTCTGAAGTTTGCCAATGAACATTTGAATGATTCAGAGGACAACTGGGTGAAAGTGTTGTGGTCAGATGAGACCAAAATGGAGCTCTTTGGCATCAACTCAACTCACCGTGTTTGGAGGAGGAGGAATGCTGCCTATGACCCCAAGAACACCATCCCCACCGTCACACATGGAGGTGGAAACATAATGCTTTCGGGGTGTTTTTCTGCTAAGGGGACAGGACAACTTCACTGCATCAAAAGGGACGATGGACGGGGCCATGTACCGTCAAATCTTGGGTGAGAACCTCCTTCCCTCAGCCAGGGCATTGAAAATGGGTCGTGGATGGGTATTCCAGCATGACAATGACCCAAAACACACGGCCAAGGCAACAAAGGAGTGGCTCAAGAAGAAGCACATTAAGGTCCTGGAGGGGCCTAGCCAGTCTCCAGACCTTAATCCCATAGAAAAATCTGTGGAGGAAGCTGAAGATTCGAGTTGCCAAACGTCAGCCTCGAAACATTAATGACTTGGAGAAGATCTGCAAAGAGGAGATGTGTGCAAACCTTGTGGCCAACTACAAGAAACGTCTGACCTCTGTGATTGCCAACAAGGGTTTTGCCACCAAGTACTAAGTCATGTTTTGCAGAGGGGTCAAATACTTATTTCCATCATTAAAATGCAAATCAATTATAACATTTTTGACATGCATATTTCTGGATTTTGTTGTTGTTATTCTGTCTCTCACTGTTCAAATAAACCTACCATTAAAATTATAGACTGATCATTTATTTGTCAGTGGGCAAACGTACAAACTCAGCAGGGGATCAAATACTTTTTTCCATCACTGTACAGCTCCGTGCTTCAAGTGAAAATTGGTGACTCCCTGCTCTGAGTGAGCACAGATCCCCCTTCGGCTACGTTGTAGTGGCTGCAAAATTGATGTTGTGTATTTCATTATCACAGAGAAAGAAAAAAATGTAGCGTGTACCTATTGAAAATGTGTAATATTATGCTCAATACATCAAGTGACATGTAATTTGAATTACTCTAGCTTGAAATATAACGTTTCTCATTAAATAGCAGGGAACTGCTATTCCCCTACATGGGAACATTCCTTGTGCCCATTCCTTTCACATTGTTCTTCTCTCACACATGTTGCCCTCTGACGTGTGCTACCTTAATGGTCCTGCTTTATTTGCAATTCGAGTGTATAAAGAAGCCGCTGCTTTGGTGCCAAATATAGTGTTTTTTTTTAAATAAAAAGGAAAGTTTATTGTAAAATGTATGTGCTGTGTGCGTTGGGTGTTCTAAAGAATATGATTAGCACTTGAATAGACAGTTTTATTATGCATGAGGGAGACATTTTTTTTTAGGTTGGCTTGCCATTACCATTTTATTAATATTTTAAAAGAGCTTACGGAATATCCTTGATTCTCTTAAATAATTTTAAACGGGAACGTGGGAAGCTCCTTTCCGCACGCCGGCTTCAGAGACTCTCCACGTACATTGCAAACCTCTTGCCGCCGAGTCTTTAACAAAGACAAACAAGACAACGAGCCCCCGTAGAGCCTTAACGCACCGTTGGGGCAAGTGCTGTTAGCGAGTAACACCGATGAAGGCCGGCACAGCACACGAGGGGGTAGGTGGCCAGTACCACGCCCGACCGCCTTTGTCTTCCCAGTGGCGATGTTTTTACACTGCCGTCGGGGACTCATATGAGGCTGAGTCGACCTAGGGAAAGCCCAGGATCGGTTCAGATAATTGTCGCTGGTGTTGGCCGTGAGCAGGGATCGAACTTGGGTCACCAGGTTCGTAGCGCAGCGCACTAACCGCTACACTACCGCTCCACACACACACACATGCGCGGCCGTTATAAAATTGCTGGATTTGAATTCCCTCGAACTAATTGAAGACTTTCCCTTTAATGAGAAACATTGACTCGTAATTAGACCATCCATGTGGCACGGATATCCTGGAGCATGGCCTTACTTGTAATTGTAATAATGTATTAAGGGTTGAATAGTGCACTTCAAAGACCAGTGGAACCATTAATGACACCATTTTCAGATAAGCCTTGGTTAAGTGTAACCTGACACTGCACCGTGATGGCTGGCTCGTGTGCTGTGGGAGTGTGCACAGTGGTTGTTACAGAGGGGACATCAACTCGACCGTCCTCCACGTGGCAGCCATAGGCTCCTCGGTGCCACGATTCAAATGTACTCAATTATAACAATTGTAACAACAATTGAATGGGAATGAGAAAGTAAAAAAAAAGAACTCTGCTCTCGTCGGAGACGTATGACGTCTCGGTGGGTCTGTCAAGTATATATGGAGCATTTGAAGCCGACGAGATATTGAGTGTGACATATTGCATATCACCAGAAGAACGGCATGATTAGCAATGTTGCATTGTGGATCGCTCTGTGCGTGTGTTTGGTATCCGTTTTTGCAAGACGGTTTTCACAATACGAATAACCTGTTCAATGTGTAGCGACACCGGTGGAAGTACAACGTAAAAAAAAAACTAACCTACCGTCTTTGCAGGTAGCCTTTATTAATTGTAGCCGTTGATGTAATATATTATTTTGTTGGAAATTTGTTTTGGGAAGAGTACGCAAATGAAAAAAAAGCATAAACTATTGGTTCGTGTTCTTCGAACAATTATAGTGCTATGAGTCAAGAGTAATTACATTCTCTCTCCCACATTTGCTGACTCCACCTGCTTCCTATCAGCCTGCAAGAGTTAGCGTTATGGTGCGGGAAGATAGTGGGAATTGCAAGAACAATAAAAAAAAAGTCTGCCACAAAAATCGACTGCTGCGCTGTCCGTCCGTACTCTGTGTGTTTGTCCGTGCGTCTTGGTGCTGGGGTGTGATCTGTCCGTAATCCACGTGTGTGTCGTTTGTGTTGCTTGTGCTCTGCACGTGTGTGCAGGCGCGATCTCCCGTCCCCGAGAGGGCCCTGGGGAGATGGGCAAGGCTGTGCACATCCCCAAGGTGGAGGAGGAGCACATGAGGGACTTGTTCAAAATCAATCAGTTTAACCTGCTGGTGAGCGACAAGATCGCGCTAAACAGGTCTCTTCCAGACGTTCGCCTCGACGGGTACGTTTTGAAAACCGATTATTGTAATTACGGATTGCGTTAAGCTCGCCTCTAATTTCAACCGCCCTTTATGACACCCGCGGTTTACTTTTGACTCCACGCTGCCTCGTTCGCCGTTGAGCCAGCAGATGGTGCTGCGGCAGAAACGCTTGGCTCAAAGTCGGATGGTTACGAGTTGAAATCCTGGTCGACGGCCGATTCTGCCAATGATTTCGTCCGGAATCCATGAAATGAGCACTACGTTGTCGGACGTCATCGGTGGCAATAGCTCAAAGGTGCAGCGCTGCAATTGCATGCTAGTTCCACCGCTAGCAGAAGGACCTCCACGAGAGGGCACTCCAGCGAGCCTCTCCTACAGAGTATTTGGCCTACTCTTCCACGCCGGCCAGACATCTTGGGGGAGATGGGAGTACCCGCACTTTACCCCACTACTCACGACCTGCCGATTGCCTCACTGCGGTGTGACCCATTTATACTGCTGGGTGAACAGAGGCGGGGGGGGATTGAAGACACCGTGCCATTGTATCATGGTGGCGAGATGTTAACTGCCTCGCTTGGTATACGGGTCGTGGGTTCGATCCTCACCCCGACGCCTCTATATTTGGAGTGTGCTTGTTCTCCCTGTGGCCGTGTGGATTTTGCTCCGGGTCCTCCGGTTTTTCTCTCCACATTTAGAATCAACACACGCGTTTAGAGTTTTTGGATGCCATACATTTCCACGTGATGGGCCACTTCGTTGAGTGACCATTTGTGGCCGGGTTGCTTCTGAAAAAGAGATGTATAGCTCGGTGAGCCTTTACTGGTAATATAAAAAAATGTTTCTAGTTTTAGTATCAACTGCCACGCCGGGAATATCGAACCGGCACTGGGCCCTGCCATGGGAATGTGGACTTTGCGTCATTGGCTCAGGGCTGACAATGGAGTTGACTGTTGCCTCGGTGCTCCTTGAAGCAGAGAGAGGCACAATGACCTTGACTCTACTATTGGAATAAAAAAAATGATTTACGCCGATACAAACTGTATCACCACCGTGCCAACCAGTTTGTGCTCGTTTTTTTAATTAAATAACATTTTATCACGTGCACAGTGAATGTACGTTCTCGTAGACACATTGCATTTAATGTTAATTGACTTATAATCGCTGTTCAGTGAGCTAGGTAACGCCCTAGAGCTGATGTGACTGGGTAACCACGCGTTAAAAAACAAGATGTTCAACTTGTTTATCACGACATATCCGAGCGTGATAAGTACAAGTGGACATTGGGGCATTCCTTTACGTGTGCAATCAATCCAGTGCTGGATGAGGGCCTTCCTACGCCTTGTGGGTTGTGGAGGGGTTTAATTTATCATACTTCATCACACTGGTAAGCACGGCTTGGTGAAGGCAGGGAGCATATATATGGGACCATAGGTGTGCATTACAACAATGGATTTTTCTGCACATGCCTCTGTTTCTCACAACATAGCTATAGCAACCTGCTTTGTGCTTTGTGGTCGGCGCATCCAAACGCTGGTAATTTGCAGCGCTGTTTAGCGTCTGAGATCCGCTGAGGTCGGGCGCATTCTGGATGCTTTGGTCATAGTCCCTGCTTGAATTTTGCTTGAACACATTAGTTTTCTCATTGGAAGAGCTTTTTGATTTCTAGTTTTCAGTTATATTTGTTCCCCACCGGTACGGGTGGGTCTTTCATACGTACGCTTGTGCACTCACAAATTCTGGTACAATCCAGTGGGGTATTTGAAGCATTGGCACTCGGCAGCAGTCATCATGTTCATTTTTGGGGCCTTTTTGCCATTTGTCAATCTGCCGTTGTGAATCCATATTTCCCTTGGAAACTGTAAACAATTTACTCTACATTGCACCCTCTTCGTCGTCTTCAACTTCATCGTTTGTAAGGTCGACAGGCGTGTAACCTTGTGGAGCGTGCGTGGCATTCTTGAGACATCTCCAACCCCAGCGGCACAATACTTCCTGAATTATTACTCAAAGTGGTGTCTGATTCGATTTATCAGAGCCCTTTTGTTTGAAACTCGCTGCTGCCATTTAACTTTACAGTGAATGTGAAAGCACTTTTTTTCTTTAATAATAATGTAAGTTCCCTCCCTCTCCCATCCCCCAATGTTCTCCCTACAAGTTGTCTAAATTTGCTCATGTTAACTGCCGACTGTTTCCAATGCGCCCTGAGCTGTCTTCAAAAAGCGCTCGGCTGTGCACTCTGAATGAGCTCTCCGGCTGTCTTGTGTCGAGGATCCTTGCACACGCATACCCATGTGGGAAGCCAGTGTTTTTTTTTATTTTAATCAAAAGTGCCCTTCCAAAGATTGTGTCTGTGGCCTTGCGAGTAACCAATTTCTATGCATTTTACTTGAGAAAAGTGTTATCGCCAGTTCTGCGTGTAACGCATACTTTCCAGTGTCACGGCATACTCGTGCAGCTTAGCTATGCTTAAACGTTTGCGCGAACGTAATAATGCCCGAATTAACCCTTTCACCTCTAATATCCGCTGGAGAGAAATAAGTGGTTGTAGCTTCATCTGTCAGCCTTCACTTAAAACAGTGGTCAATTAAGCAACACTTTAATCAGGTGGCCATGATACTGATGTCTTCGAGAACACTGGAAATAATGTAAAAACATAGTTATATATCCTATTCAGAGCTAAATTTTGATTTGAAGCTTTTGTGACTGCAGGGATTCATATTATTGGTTCTTTCGGTAAAGTCACGTATTATTTTATTGTTTCCCTTCTACGTGACTTTACCGAAAGAACCAAGAATACTATTCAGAGCTGTTTCATATTTAAGTGGGACACCAATGTTACTTGAATTCCACCATGATATATAGCATTGTGAAATAGTGTCGATGTTGTGTCGGTTGTGTGACTGTTTTATCGTGTGCCTGTAATATTTTGTGCGCGTGCTTATTATTTATTTAGTGTTGTGTACATGCGAATTCGTGTGCACATTGTGAATGATGAGAAATTACAGCAGCAGGGTAACGGGTTTGTAACTGCAAAACATCAATGTTAATCTCAGGCATTCAGTGCTATATGGAGGAGAAACATGAAGATAAGGGAGTCAAGGTTACTAGTAATTATAAAGTAGCAAGGTAAGTTCATGCTCCACACGTCATTACTTAAAATGATAGTCTTTGTATTTGTTTTTTTTTTAACCCTGTGAGAATTTATATAAATAGCTGCGGCTAATGTCGATTGTTTTCATGCATAGGCAAGAATGTATTTTGTAATATTGCATCACTTTCATTTAATATTCTGACACGGAACAATTAGCCATGTGGGCCAAGCTAAAAGACCCAGCTGGGCGCAGTGGCAGCCAATCTAAAGAGCCATGGAGGTGATGGGTTTTCTGATGGGAAGCTTTCTTAGCCAGTAGACAATGGCCCTGCCAAAAAAAAAAACACGCAAACACACACGCGCGCATGGCATTCTGTTACAGCATCTTAATGTGCTGCGTACCTTGAAGGGTTTTGGGTCAGCATGGCCAGAGCACGGTGGTTTTTTACCAACACAAACCTGCTTGTACACCGCTAATTTTACACGCCCCCCCCCCCCCCCATGCACGAATTGAATTTAGACACCACGGCGGTTTGTATGGCAGAGCAGAGAGCAGCCAAGCATGCATTGGTATCTGAAACCAGCCTGAGCAGCAGCAGCAGCAGCGAAGAAACAGGGCAATTTTTATTTATCAAATCTATTGTGTCATTCTTGCGCGGAGTTTTTTTTGTTTGTTTGTTTTCGTCGGGTTTTCTCCAGCTACCTTCAACACGTCAGACGCTCAAAACGATTCCTTATAACGGTATATATTTTTCTATATATATACAGAGAGGCTAATCTCAGAATATCCAGACTTTGCAACCTCAAGGTCCTTTTGTGTTCATTCATAAAGCAACAGAATGGCCGATAAGAAGGGTGGAGCAGAAGGGGAGGCTGCCTGTAATGGGGAGCGTGACCCACAGCACGCACGGCGTCACGGCAAGGACAACATTTCTACTTCGCCTCGCAGGCCTCCGCACGTTACAAAACGAAATAAAACAACACTAAAATCCCAGTTAAATGTTCACAAGGTGTTTGGATTCAGCCCACCGTTAGCGTGCACGGTGTAAATGTGCGCATGGTTTTGCTCGTCGTGTTGACCGTGCGGCATCTACAATCACAATACCGGATGTAATTACTACTCTGCTTTCTAATCGAACACTGATCTGAAAATTCAGATGGAAATGCAGGTTGAGTTTTCTTTTTCGCTGTCATATTTCATTAAATCTTTCCCTTTGTTACTTTTTTTTTCTTCACATCACTTGTACTGGAATTTTTGAAATAAAGAATAGAACGGCGATTTTTGCAAGATTAAATAAATATATATTCTGCAAAGTATAATGCTGCTTTGGGGTATTAGCGCAGTGCTGCTGCTCAGCCAGCCTATTGGAGCTCGCCTGTCATTTAAGACTTCCATTTATATCTACATTGTCTTCCGTAAATTAATAAAACCCTGGGTAAGTTAATGACCATTGATTAGATTTGCACGAGCGATGATGCTGCCTCTGGCGCTCAGCAGATACCTGCTTAGCAGAAATGCATTATCAGTGACAGGGGTTCATTGTATGGAATTAAGGAATATAAATCACCATTGCTATTTTTTTTCCTCGGCTAAATTTAGGATTATTGTACTTCCACTCGTCATGGAAAAAATGTGACTCTCATGTGCAGTCGGCTGTGCGCAAGACAGGAAGTGCACTTTTAGTGGCAAGCCATACATTAGGGAATATTAAATGTGCATTATGTTTAATGTGATGTCGATTATGAAAGTAATATGATGTTTCTGTGTAGTATCATCTCCGATTAGTACGAATGGCTAAGCATGGTGCGAAAGAAGTTCAAGTGACATATGTGTAGGGGGTTCCACGGATGCACACACTTGAACTTGGTGGCAACACGTTTATTCTCACACCCCAACAGGGTAACTGCATGAACGTACAACAGGTTAAC